GGGTTATAGGTCACCTTGTCTGACCCCTGACACTGACCCCTGAGACTTCCTGACCCCTGAGACCTCCTGACCCCCTTCTTGACCCCTTTCTTGACCTTCTTCGTGAACCCCTTCGTGAACCCCTTCGTGAACCCCTTCGTGAACCCCTTCGTGAACCCCTTCGTGACCGCTTATTGACCTCTTCGTGACCCCTTAGTGACCTCTTCGTGACCCCTTAGTGACCTCTTCGTTACCCCTTGGTGACCTGTTAAGGGAGCTGCACAGAAACTTTCTCTTACTCATTGTTAAAGATCTTATCTGTCTCTCTTACGTTCGATCGAGAGACATTTCCGGTGGTGTTGAGAGAGAGAGAGAGAGAGAGAGAGAGAGAGAGACGTTGTTTGTTGTCCATAAAGGGGCAATCTTATCTCAGTGAGCAAGAGGTGTAGCGCCTGGGTTGGCATCACTGTCTGGAGGGGTTCTCATCGGCCGTATCAAGGCGGAGAACAAGCAGTGTTACCAAGTGGGCGAGATGACCCTCAGAGTGACCTCCTCCCCAGGCTGGAGACTCAAAGGTTCTTATGTTAAATTTTTCCTCTTATCTGGAGATTGAATGTTGTGTTTAACACCTTGAGTACGATGATTTAACCCCTTGAGTACGATGATTTAATCCCTTGTGTACGATGATTTAACCTCTTGAGTACGATGATTTAACCCCTTGATAACGATGAAAAATTCCTTTGAGTACGATGATTACTCAAGGGATTAAATCATCGTACTCTAAATCATCGTACTCAAGGTAAATTTGTACTCAAGGGGTTAAATCATCCACTCAGAGGTTAAATCATCGTCTCAGGGGTTAAATCATCGTACTCATGAGGGTTAAATCATCACAGGGGTTAAATCATCGTACTCCAAGGGGTTAAATCATCGTACTCATGAGGTTAAATCATCGTACAAAGGGATTAAATCATCGTACTCAAGAGGGTTAAATCATCGTACTCAAGGGGTTAAATCATCGTACTCAGGGATTAAATCATGGTACACAAGGGTTAAATCATCATTAACTTGAGCTAACACCCGCCTACATGGGCTCATTGTAACACCAAGACTCTTCCTTAACTAAACACCTTCTCTTAACATCACTCAGGGAGACAAAATTAACTTCAGGTCTTTTAATAATCAAGTTCTTGTTTTGTTGTAGGTTCATTGTTTACTTGTTTATGTAAATGAGTACTTGTTTATCTTGGATCTACTTACAGGTGAAGGAATAACACCGAAGTGGACCTTGAAGTAGGAAGGTGGAGGGTGAGGTAGTGTCGAGTGAGTAGGTTAGGTTAGGTTTGGTTATGGTTGGGATTAGGGTAGGTTAAGAGGGGTGGGAGAGTAGAGGAAGGGTGGGAGAGGAAGAGGAAGGGTGGGAGAGGAAGGAAGGGTGGGAGAGGAGAGAGGAAGGTGGGAGGAAGGGTGGGAGAGAGGAAGGAAGGGTGGGAGAGGAAGGAAGGGTGGGAGAGGAAGAGGAAGGTGGAGAGAGGAAGGGTGGGAGAGGAAAGGAAGGTGGGAGAGGAAGGGTGGGAGAGGAAGAGGAAGGGGAGGAGAGGAAGAGGAAGGGTGGGAGAGGAAGGTGGGAGAGGAAGGGTGGGAGAGAGGAAGGGTGGGAGAGTAAGAGGAAGGGTGGGAGAGTAAGAGGGGTGGGAGAGGAAGGGTGGGAGAGTAAGAGGAAGGGTGGGAGAGTAAGAGGAGGAGCGGGTCGGCTATCCTCTCGTAAGTTAACTAATACAGGTAAGAGTCTCGGTAATTACCAGGTAGATGATCACGTAGGAACAAGCTCTCTCTCACACACGCCACGCTCGCTCTCTCTCTCTCTCTCCCATCGTGATCATGGTCAGGGCTGGTGTGGGGTAGTCAGGGCTGGTCAGGGCGCCCCGCTGAGTTATCACACTTCCAGTAATGTCTTCTGTAGCCTGAGATTATCACCCCCTCCTCCCTCCCTCTCTTCCTCCTCCTTTTCCTCTTCTTCCTTCTTCCTGATCCTTCTCCTCCTCCTCTTCCTGATCTACCTCCTCCTCCTCCACCTCTTCCTTTTCCTCCTCCTCTTAAGAGAACGCCATGTGTCACAAGGGCCACATTCTCTCGACGGAGTTACTGTTTTACCGCCAAACAAAAGCCTCGCGGGTCAAGTGAACGAGTTGAAGAACAAACACACTCTCTTATCCCCAGCCTCGCCACCTCCAGGAGCAACACCCGAGTCTTTATTAATGCATCGTCGTAAGAGGCGAGGTGGGGGGCCAGTGCTACCACTTACTATAGCCGCCCCCTTAACACAAACGAGGTGGGTTTTTCTCAATGTTTATTTGGTTTTACCGCAAATAGAAATGATCAAGGCGAGTCTTATGTAAATTACTTGGCGTATGTGTCGGCCGGCGGCGGACAATGGGTGTTGGGAGGGAGGGGTGGTGGTGAGGGTAGAGATGTTTATCTTTGTGAGCTGGAGTCGTTTCGCTTTTGTTTCGTGTTGGGCAGCGAGGACTCCCAGCGGCGACGGAAAACCCACTCCAAAACTAAGTTATTCGATGCTTTCTCTGATCTTAATTATCTCCGATCTCATCAAACTGCTTCATTAGCGATTCATAATGTGATTAAGGGGTATATTTTTTGTTAAGAGGTGTGCAGGGTGGGCTGGGGTGAGGGTGGGCTGGGGTGAGGGTGGGTAGGGTGGGTTGTGGTGTGAGGGAGAGGGTCGCGGGCGTGCGGTGGGCAAGGGGGACGCACCGTGTTCTCACGACCCAGTCTGACCCTCTGCTCCGCCCACTCGTGCTCTATGGCTGGACACACCGCCCACCCTCCTCTTCCCCCAGCCCGTCTTTAGCACCCACCCACCCCCACCAACGAGCCACCCATAATCATCATCCACTACCCACCTGGATCATCCAACGTCCACCAGTTTCATCCACCACCCACAAGCCATCCATCATCAACATCCACCTCCATTCGTTTCACACACACACACACGCACACACACACACACACACACACACTACAACAATGATAATTTTTCTCAACATAAGAGTATGTTCGATGACTTTATGCACGTTGCCATAAGTTGCCAAATCCACTTCCTTCCCCCTCCCCCATCACCCCTTCCTCTCTCTCCCCTTCACCCATTCCTCCTCCCTACCTGCCCCCCTCCTCCTCCCTCGTGATAGTCATCCTTCTCTTCCCCCTCCCTCCCCTCCCCTCCCTCCGTGTTAGTCATCCCCCGTGATACTCTCCCCAGCATCAACACAACCTCTCACTAATAAACAGATCAACAGCCACCAACTCTGACTATTGATGCTCACGGACTGCAAGTCTTTACCAACTGTAGGTCAGCGGTGATTGGTAGGTGAGGGCGTGTAGTGATTAGTAGGTGAGGGCGTGTGAGATTGGTAGGTGAGGGCGTGTGGGGATTGGTAGGTGAGGGCGTGTAATGAGGATGGTAGGTGAGGCGTGTATGTGGTGATTAGTAGGTGAGGGGCGTGTGGGGATTGTGCGTGAGGGCGTGTGAGAGTTAGTAGGTGAGGGCGTGTGGGACAGTAGGTGAGGGCGTGTGGGAGTTGGTAGGTGAGGGCGTGTGGTGATTGGTAGGTGAGGCGCGTGGTGATTGGTAGGTGAGGGCGTGTGGTGATTGGTAGGTGAGGCGTGTGGGGATTGGTAGGTGAGGGCGTGTGGGGATTGGTAGGTGAGGCGTGTGGTGATTGGTAGGTGAGGGGCGTGTGGTGATTGGTAGGTGAGGGGCGTGTGGGGATTGGTAGGTGAGGGGCGTGTGGTGACTGGTAGTTGAGGGTCCAATGAATAGCCAATCATTCCTAAAGGCTGAGGTGAAGAAGGTAACAGGTAACTTAAACTATAGATTAGAATAACTTAATTTACCCCTGACTTAACCCCGACTTACCCCCGTCTTAACCCCGACTTACCCCCGACTTAACCCCGACTTACCCCCGACTTAACCCCGACTTACCCCAGAAGTATGTGTGGCCCGACAAGCTCTTGATCAAGGTCCGGTAATTATAAACTATTGCTGGTGTTGGGTGAAGTCTGCGTTATGGCGATCATTATGAGGGCCATTGTTTTAATGTGGGGCCGTATGTTACCTGTGTGTAGGAGGGTTGTAGTGGAGGGGTGGAGGGAGGTGGAGGGGTGGAGCGAGAGGTATGGAGGGAGTGGTGGAGGGACGTGGAGGGAGGGGTAGAAGGAGGATAGATGATGGCTTGATCACTAAAAATTTAACAACGTATAATGCCTGAGTTGTGTGAGTGATGATTACCTCTGACCTCACCCACCCACCCATCCCACCCACCCACCCATCCCACATCTACCCTTTCCTATCCATCTTCCAGCCCTGGCGACCATATTGACCCACCCTAGCTCTCCTGCAGCCCAGTCAGCCACCCACACCCACCCTCAGCCCCCTCACCCTTCACCCCTACCCTGCCTTCCACCTCTACCTCACACCCATCACCACATCTTAGGCAGTTGCACTGACCCACCCTCGGCTTTCTTGCTACACAGTCAACCTCCCACTCACCCACCCACCCATTACAATACTTATCCACCCACTACCCACCCACTCACCCATTACAATATTATCCACCCACTACCCACCCACTCACACACCTATCGACACATAAATCTACCCTCAACCACCCACACACAAAATTCACCCACCCGGTAAACCAAACTACATAACAAAATAACTTAAACAGACCAGAAAAATAATCTCAGGAATGATATCAAGTTTAATCTTAACTTAAAGGTTTGGGTCAGGCAGCTTTTAGTGGTCAAGGATTACCTGCAGGTATGGGGCAGGTGGGAAGGGCGGCCTTACCTGTACCTCGCTATCGGTCTTTGGGGCAGGGGGTCTTGGAGGGTCTTGGTCATGGAGGGGGGTCTTGGGAGGGTCTTGGGGGTCTTAGGAGGGTCTTGGAGGGTTGTTGGGGGGTCTTGGAGGGTTGTTGGGGGTCTTGAAGGTCTTGAGTGTCTTAGGAGGGGTTGTTGGAAGTCTTATGAGAGTCTTGGGAGGGTTGTTGGAGGTCTTGAGTGTCTTGGAGGGTTCTTGGGAGGTCTTGTGTGTCTTCAGGTGGTGTTGGAGGTCTTGAGTGTCTAGGGGAGGGAGTGTTGGGGTCTTGAGTGTCTTGGGAGGGTGTTGGAGGTCTTGAGTGTCTTGGGAGGGTGTTGGAGATCTTGAGTGTCTTAGGAGGAGGGTGTTGGAGGTCTTGAGTGTCTTGGGAGAGTGTTGGAGGTCTTGAGTAATATGGGAGGGGTTGTTGGAGGTCCTGTGTGTGTCTTGAGAGGGGTGTTGGAGGTCTTGAGTGTCTTAGGAGGGGTGGTGGAGGTCTTGAGTGTCTTGGGAGGGTGTTGGGGGGTCTTGAGTGTCTTAGGAGTGGTGTTGGAGGTCTTGAGTGTCTTGGGAGTGGTGTTGGAGGTCTTGAGAGTGTCTTGGAAGGGTTGTTGGAGGTCTTGAGTGTCTTGGGGAGGAGGGGTGTTGGGGAGGGTCTTTGAGTGTCTTGGGAGTGGTGTTGGGTCTTGAGTGTCTTAGGAGTGGTGTTGGGTCTTGAGTGTCTTGGGAGTGGTGGGGTCTTGAGTGTCTTGGGAGGGTTGTTGGAGGTCTTGAGTGTCTTGGGAGGGTTGTTGGAGGTCTTGAGTGTCTTGGGAGGGTTGTTGGAGGTCTTGCGTGTCTTGGCGGTCTTGGGAGTGGTGTTAGAGGTCTTGAGTGTCTTGGGAGGGTTGTTGGAGGTCTTGAGTGTCTTGGGAGGGTTGTTGGAGGTCTTGAGTGTCTTGGGAGGGTTGTTGGAGGTCTTGCGTGTCTTGGCGGGGATGGGGAGGACTCTTTGAGGGTGTTGGGGGTACACAGCCTTCTCTCTCTCTCTCTCTCTCTCTCTCTCTCTCTCTCTCTCTCTCTCTCTCTCTCTCTCTCTCTCTCTCTCTCTGTGTTATCCCTTCTATCACTTCATTCATCACTGGTTATTTTCCTTTTCACTCACTTGTCTTCTCTCTCATTTTCTCTCATTCTCTCTACGTGCTTCATTCTCTCATCTTTTCCCTCCTCCTTCTCTTCCCTCCCTCTGTCTCTCGGGTAGAGGAGCATCATGAAGGAGGTAGACCCCTCAGTAGAACCTCTTCACCCTTCCCTCACCACACTCTCCCTCCCCACACTCCCTCACCACACTCTACCTCACCACACCTTCCCTCACACCTCAGAGATCCTCACACCTACCTCTCCCCCTTCTTCAGGATAATTTGCCCCGAGTTAAGGATAGTAAGGATGTTTCAGCAGATGGTATCAGGATAAAGAGGTTTGCAAGGTTGTTAAAGTCAGCCTCGTGAATCAACAAGCCCCCCAAGAGGCGCTGACAGAAGCACTCACGAGTCGCCTGCGGGGAAAAGATATCTTATTGCAAGGTTACATTAAGGTGTTTTTTGCCTTACTCTGGGCGTGACAGGGGCGAGAAAGCAGCAGTCATTGGCTTAAGTGGCACGTCAGTGATAAGGTGAACAGGTTATCCATGTGGCAGTGGTTAAAGCCGAGGCAGATGGTTGACTACAAGACCGATTAGTTTATGTAAAGGCCTTCCCGATGTTGCTTTCAACCCCGTGTGGCCTCGGCTGATGGATCGCTTATATTAATAAACCAAAGTTATTTTTTTTACCTGAAGATAAACCAACCAAATGCTACCTGGGGGTTAAGTTAGGTGATGACGCACCTTAAGGTGAGTCCACACGTGCGAACATTTTGTCGCCAACATGTGATCAACAAGAGGAAACACCCATCTAATGCACGCGGCCGCACCCTACCAGAGTCGGAACCCTGTGCCTTATTTTGTCTTGTCGATCACATGTTGGCAACAAAATGTTTGTACGTGTGGACACACCTTAAGGTGCGTCATCAGCCCAGTATGTGTCTTGTTTGACCTAACTGATGGATGTTTCTCGTAAGTGAGGGATTTAATGCGAGCGAGCGCACGCACGCACACACGCACGCACGCACGCGCACACACACACACACACACACACACACACACACACACATTCCAACACCCACGTCGCCGCCCATCAGTCCATTCCTCACTCCTGCCGCCCATTCCACCACCCACCATCCACATACCTCCTGCCCGCTACCCCATTCCCTAATACCACCCATTCAGCCACCGATGTCGCCACGCACCAACCCATTCCTCACCCACGCCGCCCATATTACCACCCAGTGAAGCTCTTTATCTTACCACCCATCAGAAACACCAACCAACCAACCTCTCTCTCTCTCTCTCAATACAGAGGTAGTGAACTTGACACACGGGGTGGTGGCCTCCTGGTACATGGTGTGGGACACAAGGGTCAGCGGGACACAGTGGCTCTGGTCCACCATTGTCACGTCACCAGACTCATGCCACACAGACAGTCGTCAACCTCGCGTGCCACCTGCTGTCAGTAGAGGAGACGACCCTGTCACGTGGTGGTGGTGGGGTGGTGGTGTTGGTGGTGGTGGTGGTGGTGGGTGGTGTGGTGGTGGTGGTGGGTGGTGTTGGTGGTGGTGTTGGTGGTGGTGGGCGGTGTTGGTGGGTGGTGGTGGTGGTGGTGGTGGAGAACAAAGGGGGTTTGCACAGGTGTTGTGGCCTTCATTCATGGATTTTGTTTCAAGCAGGATGGTCCGTGGCCCAAGACATGATGGGTGACGCCAAGGCCTCCTATACCATCACAGGCAGGATGGTCCGTGGCCCAAGACATGATGGGTGACGCCAAGGCCTCCTATACCATCACAGGCAGGATGGTCCGTGGCCCAAGGCATGATGGGTGACGCCAAGGCCTCCTCTACCATCACAGGCAGGATGGTCCGTGGCCCAAGACATGATGGGTGACGCTAAGGCTTCCTCTACCATCACAGGCAGGATGGTCCGTGGCCCAAGACATGATGGGTGACGCCAAGGCTTCCTCTACCATCACAGGCAGGATGGTCCGTGGCCCAAGGCATGATGGGTGACGCCAAGGCTTCCTCTACCACCAGGGCGAGGTGAGCACTACTTCCGATATTAATTTTTGGTGTTAACTAAAAACATTGTCAGTGTCATGGTTGTTTATATTAGTAGAAGAGTACAGTTGTTGGTTAAAGTTAAGGAGTAAAGAGAGATAGAAGATTAATGTGACTGTTTGTCCAGGTAGGTGAGAGTTAACAGCTCCTGGAGGGTCAACACATCAGGTCAGTGTTATATATCATTTGTTGTTTATGCACTTGTTAGTAAGTGTTGTGTCTGAGGTAAGTGAGTTCGTCGCCGTCACCTTCCCTGTTGAAGATCAGGATCACGTTTGGTGTATAAAGTCTCTCGGGGAAATGTTCTTGTTGCAGTCGTGTTCTAGAGAGTGACTTGTGTATATCAGTAACTATCAGCTACCAGAACTGTGTATTCCTTTACTGTTCGCAGTATTAACTTTTAACTCCTCAAGCTGTCGTGTTCCATCAGCGTCACAATAACACAAACATTTACAGGAAACTTTCTCTTACTCGCAAAACTAAAAAAAAAAATATTACAGAAATCTAAACTACACTTATCTACAACCTACCCAACCTCACCCAACCCAACCTCACCCAACCCAACCTCACCCAACCCAACCTCACTCCACCACAACTCTTACACCCAAATATTACAGTGTGACCCAGTAATCTATTCTACCCTCGTAAGTTGACAACCATAAACTGCTAAGGCTCCCTCCTCTGTCGTGTCATCCATCAGCCAGTGCATTTTGCTTGTTCCTTCATCGTCCACACTTACTCCAATGTTTGTTTATACGCCAGACCTACAGACAGACAGACACATGTAGACGATATAAACACCTCCAAATGCCGCACAGAGAATAATAACCCTGTCGGTCTCCTCCTCGCCTCCAAGAAGGGATCAGAGAGGGTGTTGTTATCGGCCAGTGTGTGTGTGTGTGTGTGTTAGTCCATCTGTATGAATTAGTTTAGTAATATATCTGTCAGTTAGAGGTTTATGAGTGAGTGAGTGATAGCAACTGCGGTAGAAGCAGCAACATGGACAGCATTAACAGCAGCTGCACAAATAATCCAGCAACAGTATGAGGGGAGCCCGTAATAACAGCATAATGGAGAGTTACAGCAATAACATCATTAGGATAGTTACAGCATTAACAGCATGAGGAAGGGAGGGGTGCAGTAGCAACATTAGCAGCAGTATTAGCAGCACCGGGAACAACAACAGCACCAGCAGCAGCCTTAACAGCATCACAGCACCGCCGCCCGCCCCAGCACCATTGTCCTGTCGGTGTGACGAAGAGTGTACAAGGGTGGTCAGAGGTAGAGGCGCCGCCCCTTGTGAGCATGTCCCTCTCTAAGATGTCTGTCTGTCTGGTGGCGTCCTGTGTGGGGGCCCTGGTATCCTTCTCCTCCTACCTGGCCTTACACCTCACTATGCTTCTCACTATCATCACCATCCCACTCACCAAACCTCTCACCATCACCCCACTATTCAACTCACCAGACCTCTCATCCCCCCCCCCCCATTATCACCAATCCCATACCAGCCCCTCACCATCATCACCCTCACCATCACCCTCACCATCACCCTCACTATCACACAGAGGAGTGAGGTCTTAGCATGGTGCCGGTGACCAGCTGAGGTGTCCTGCCGGGCGCTAACTACCCCTCACCCCGCCCCTCTCTCTCTCTCTCTCTCTCTCTCTCTCTCTCTCTCTCTCAATGTGTATGTATGAGAGAGAGAGAGAGAGAGAGAGAGAGAGAGAGAGAGAGAGAGTGTGTGATTCTCTAGTTCTCTTTGTCTACATGTCTGCCCGTCTGTTTATATGTCTATGTCTGTCTGTATGTATACATGCCTGTTAAGCCAGTATCATCACATACTCATAATAATTTCCTTGTTTATTAATAGTTCACAAATCCTAACCTTTTATTTATTTATTTTATTTATTATTATTATCAATTAATCATTTTTATTGTTCTTTTAATTACTATTATTTATTTATTTGTTTAGTTTTATAGTTTATTAAATTATTTCTTCTAATTAGTGTTTGTCATAATCGGTGGATAATTTATATAATTATTTATCATTATTATTATTGATATTGTTGTTGTTGACATGGGCTAGAATGGGGCGTCATTGGCGAGTTTGGGCATGGGTTGGCGTGGGTGGGTGGACCTAGGATGGTAGAGGGGCGTCATGAGTGGGAGTGGGTTGGCATGGGTGAGGCAGCAGGACTCAACAAGCAGCGTGTCCACCTCCACACTACTACTGTTTAACACGTACAGCCCATAAACTAATTAACGGTCTTCACCCTCTCTCTCTCTCTCTCTCTCTCTCTCTCTCTCTCGAAATGTTGTTGGTTGTGTGGTGAGAAACGAATTGGTTTAGCATGACCAGAGTTGATGTGGTTCATTGTTTTGTGTGTGTGTGTGTGTGTGTGTAAGGTAGCCCGCTGTGTATACCTGCCACCTGCACTCTGCTGTTAACCATGGTAGCTCCCTGCACACCTTAGCTTACTGCTGCTGTTTCTGCTGTTGTGATTACCGTTCTTATTGCTGTAAAAATTGTTGCTGCCGTTGCTAGAATTACTCCCACTGCTTTTACTGCTGTGATATTACTGTTATTACTGCTTCTGCTTCTTCTGCTGCTGCTGTAAGCCACCACCACACGTAGCCCGGCCCCACACCACCTACCACCACAGGAAGCGACGCCTAATGTGCTTATTTTGTGGTATAATTCAACAACTGGTTTTAATGGGTTCCTGTGTTCTGGTAATTTGCTTGTTTTATGCTAGCTGGTGGTGGAGGGCTGGTGAGGTA